CTTCCTCCCTTCGTTGTTTCCTTGCCTCTAATTAATTCGCTGTTGCTGCTCATTAGGATCAGCTTGCAGAGCGTGCTTGGGATGCAGCTCCTCTGGTGGCCCCTGGGCTACAAAGGCAACAACTGTAGTGGAYGGTCAAGCGGCTCTCCCACCCCCACCTCCACCCCCCACCAAACACAGCAGACCAGAAGGGAAGAAGGGAATAGCAATCGTCTTTAGCCAAGGTGGAGTTGAAGATCAGAGAATCGATCCTATGACAATCCCCTAGAATATATTCAGCTCAGTTGTTGTGCAGTGGACAGAGGCAGGGGGAGTGTAATTTGCTGCACAAACATTGCCGGCTTGTTTTTTTTTCCGTCTTCTTTTTTTCTTTTAAGAATTGCATTGATCCCGGTGCATAACGCACCCATAAATCCATCTAATATCCCGACTTGATTGATTATTGCCCTTTGAAAAGACTCTGTATAGGACTGCAAATTTTGAAATGATACTGGTAAATTAGACATACCATTGCAAAGGCTGGGAAGAGCTGCGTGGAAAAGCGGCAGAAGGGGTAAAGAAGCTCAAGAGCATGCACACTCTGATTGGGAGCCAGCAATATCCCCAAAGACGGACAAACCAAAATATGTGCATAGATGTAGGCATAACTTGCCCAAAGGGAACACACAATGTGAGCATGACAAAATCTCTCTAGCCAAGCAGAACATAGAAAAGGAGGCACATGTGCCAACACAAAGGGACATGAAMAGGTAAGGCAATGCATCATGTACACTTACTTCTTTCAGGAGAAGGAGAGAGACATAGACAAGAGACATGCATAGAAATACATGCCATCCACAAAAAGAGTACAAAATACTGACTAAATGCATATGCTGATTTGGGGGGGGGGGGAGTCCAGTACAACAACAACAACAGCCTTTATTAGCATACACTAACAAGATCACAGCACAGACAAATATAAAAAGTCCAGTACAGACAGAAATACAGAGACAAAACCATTATTGTCATCAGTGAACAAAGATGATGATTATGTACTAAAAGCGCAAACATTCATGTGTTTAATTTGTTGTTGAAAGCCGGAATCACTAGGTTGCTGTGGGTTTTCTGGGCTGTATGGCCATGTTCCAGAAGCATTTCCTCCTGACGTTTCACCCACATCAATAGCAGGCATCATCAGAGGTTGTGTTTCTCTTTCTCTCTCTCTCTCTCTCTTTCACACACACACACACACACACACACACACACACACACACAAATGCATACAAATGTACATAAAGAGAGAGAGGAGAGAAAGAAATAGAGTGAAGGAATTACATGTATGGACCACAGTTGGAATTCACACACAAACACAGCTAGTACATCCAAAGGCTTTAGATACAATTGCACCATTGTTTCTACACAAACACAAACGTGCACCTCTGCAGAGGCCCTACAAAACCTAAGTCAAAGAACTAGTGCAAAATGCAGAGCTTTAAGTAACATTCAAAGTGAGTGTCTTTGCGAACAGAGAGAAAAATAACATTTTCTTGACACAGATCCAACACCAGCCTGATTGTATTTTGAGCAGCCTGTTGATAAAACAGGAAAAAAGACTGACATTTTTCTGATCATCTTCTTTTATTCCTTGATTAAATACCCAGAAAGGGCAGATTTGAATCCCTTTTGAAGAAGACATAAGTTCTGGGTATTTGTAGGGCATAGACATGCACTATTCCATTATTTGAAAGAAGGGAAGAAAAGATGGCAAAATCCAGTAAAGATTGTAAAAGAGCATCCATGAATCAGAAGGTTTTGCTTTTCAGTGAAGAGGAATGGGGAAGAGTCAGTGACAGCTGCTGGGGGCAGAGAGAAGCATGTTGCTATTGAGACGTATTGGGCTTGCTAGAGTGTCGCCTCCTGGGCAAACACTGCAGCAAAGGAAACTTCTGAAGGTAACTCCGTGCTCGTCTCTTTCACACACACAGGAAGAAAGCAATGTTGGAAAGTTGGATATTTCAAGGTACAAACTAAACACAATATAAACAGTTTGCAGTGTGTGTATGGGAGGCAAACACACAAAGAAATATGAACATAGAAGTGATAGCATATTTACAAATAGAAGTCATAAGTCTAAGTTCAACTGCTAATCCCAAGATGAGAAGTCCCACCAAAATTTACTGCTGGCGGATAGGTCAACACTTAGTTAAATCCCATTAATTTGACAGGTTGTGGTGAGGTGTGTTAATTAATAAAGAGTTTCCCCTTGACATTAAGTCTAGTTGTGTCCGACTCTGGGGGGGGGGGGGTGCTCATCTCCATTTCTAAGCCAAAGAGCCAGTGTTGCCCATAGACACCTACAAAGTCATGTGGCTGGCATGACTGCATGGAGTGCCGTTACTGTCCCGCCGAAGCGGCACCCATTTATCTACACATATTTGCATGTTTTCAAACTGCTAGGTTGGCAGAAGCTGGGGCTAAACTCAGGAGCTCACCCTGCTCCCCAAATTCAAACTGCTAACCTTTTAGTCAGCAAATCCAGCATCTCAGCAGTTTAACCTGCTGCACCACAGGGGCCTCTGTGATAATTAGATTTAGGCCATTAAATATCCATACCAAATATTCAAATATGGATTTATATACCAACACATGCATATTGTCTGGTGCTGCTATGAAAGCGAATGAACATTGCATTGACAGCCCTGATAAGCTTACACAGATACTGGATTACTACATTGTCTGTGAGAGCTTCTTTTGTATAGCAATTGTCTATTATCGCCACCTAAAACTTGCAAGAAAAACAGGAATACAATACAGGGACACGCAATATTCATGCATAAGACACAGACACCCTTCCTCAAGACATGTTTTGAAGGATGCAAAACAATATTCTGCAGTATCACAAAGACTAACACATTTATTGTAGCCAAACATTTGTGAACTACAGCCCACTCCATCAGATGAGGAGTGTTGTCCAGATTTTCAAGTATGTATGCACATATATATATCAACAGAGCACTTATAAAGGAGTGCCATTGTAGATTATGAGGTCATAGGGAAATTAAATTCAGAAAGTATTGATAATAACAACTATATTATTGAGATTGGCCATTCTGGAAACTTATTGGTAACAGACATCCTGGCACATCTGAGACCATACACTGTCAATTTTGCCACACACTGATTCCCTACCAAGAGCGCTGCAAAAGTGGGTCAAGATAGTACAAACAGTTCAATCCGCACAGCTTCTTTACAGGTATGGGCATCCTCAACCCAACGTTCCAAGTCTTATATTCTCTTTAGAGTTTCCTCTGAGGACTGACATTTTAAAAAGGGTCGACTCTTAAAGACAAAAAAAAAAAAGCTTGAGTGGAGATAGCACAGTGACTGAAAAAGCATGTTGGGATACTTCTATTTGAAACTCACACTATATACCTAGAATCAGCAATAACTCAATAAGTGACCCATTCAGAATAGTATGGGACACAATTTCATTCCACAAACCCAAATCATTTGTTAATTATTCCATGCATGCAAGGTGCATAGGGTGTACATATTTGGGATACAACTTATTTATAAATATTGCAACTCATATTTCTCTCACTCATAGATACATACAGTTTTGCACATTAGAACAGAATAGGATGGAACACAATCTCACTCCACAAACCCAATTCATTCATTAGTTATTCCATGCATGCAAGGTGCATAGGATGTACTTATTTGGGATACAACTTATTTATAAATATTGCTACATGTATTTCTCTTGCTCATAGAAACACATTCAAATTTAAGTAATTCTTTGAATATGGCAAAGTTTGCCATTCATACAAAGCTATGTATTTATTAGGATGTTCAAAAAACATGCAAACAATATATCTTTCTAAATGGAAACAAGAAACGCTAGTCACATAGTATGTTTTTGATGGCCCAATGACGGTAACAAAATACTCCCCCCCCCCCCATTCAGTCACGTATAATAAAATAAAATATTTAACTAGAATGTATACGGATGCAAATATGGACTGAATGACACGGCAATATGCATGCAGTATGAACACCTACAAAAAGCTATGCATACTCTGTCCATTAGAGCATACTAACAGAGGTGTCCGTTACAGCTTCATGGTGAAAGGTGAAATGAATTTAGCCTGAATCACAACATATCTCCTTAATAAAATTGTCCCCTTCTGTGGCCTCATCCCAAATATCTAATAATCAGTAGAGAAAGTAGGCATACTTCAATAAAAGCCAATTCTGACTTCTCCATTTTCATGTACATGTGGATTAAAAGCCACATAGTCATCATCATTCGTTCAAAATGTGTATTTACTTATCATGTATAGAATCCTACCATTTCTGCACATCCATGCAACACATAGATATCTACACAACCTCTCTCTCTCGAAGGATGATAGTCGTATGCAGACAGAGCATCCTGGATTCACATGAACACATGACGCATGTCATCATCACTGTTTTGAATTACACACCCATCTTGTGTCTATATACACTTATAGATCATACCCCTGAACATAGTAATAACAGTCACAGAGACAGATGTGTACATACTTTTTCTCTCTTATGCACATGTGTGTTTCACTTTTTCAATTTGTACACACTTGCAAGTTTCCCATATGTTCTTCATATCATCTCACCAAACTGAGCTGCTGGAGTGTACGGCACTTCTCTCTGTACAGTATGTGTGCAAGAGAGAGAGAGAGATGGGTGTTTGGGGAGAATGGGGAAATAATTGATTAATTAATGAATGTGATGGCTTGCAGCCCCTCTAGGAGATTCCGGCTGGATCTGTCAGCTGTTAATCAATCTCCGCTGAGAGAGGCAAAGGAGGCACAAAGGTAAAGCACTTAATTGCATGGGGAAAATGATACAACCCCAGCATATAAAACACATCCTTAAACATGACTCTAGAAGCCAGGGGGGCTGAGGGTGGGCTGGGATTCAGCAAAGGGAGGCACAGCCTTGGATATAGAATGAGGAGTGGGGGGAGCACACACTGAATGCGCTCTCTGTCGCTCTAGTGTGCTATGCAAGCGCCCAGACCAGGCAAGTGACAGGGAGCGCACTTCTTTGGAAGGAGTTCCCTCCCCGGCTCTTCCTGAACAGAGAGGTGACAGTGATGTTTGTCCACACGGATCCCCCCAGCAGCACCTGAGGGCCTCCAGACCCTCTTGCCCGCCCTCCCCCACATTTGCTCCTGACAATCCGCCCCTGCTCACATGCAAATGCAAAGCAGAAGCCCAAGCTGGCTGCTGCTGTTGCTGCTGCTGTTGCTGCTGCTGCTGCTATGGATGGGATGAGACACTTCCAGGCTCCAGGCAGGCATCTCTCAGTGGCTGAGCCTCGCCTCCTTCGTGAAGCACCAGAGGTCGCTCTGGTTGGCTTAAAGCTACTTTTTGCATCTTGGGCAGCTCAGTCAGATCTTCTCTTCTGGAGTTTGTGGAAAGGATTTTGCATGTGGTAGGGAGGGAGGGGTGCTGCTGGAGGAACTGGTGGTTGGGAAATCTCTCTCACACTCTCTTCCCCTCCGGTTTTCTGTTGATGACCATATGATCTGGCACAAGGAGCCTGGAGCTGCTTTGCGGTCACCAGCTGAGTTCTCAAGTGGGGAAGAGAAAGGAAGGCAATTCTATATCCATACACACACACACTTACATATTCACACATACACATATGCACACACATACACACTTTTCCTTTCCAGCCATCTCCATCTCTACTACATCTCCTGCTGCTGCTACTGCCGCTGTTGCTACTGCTGCCGCTGGTGCTGCTGCTCACAGGGAAGCATGAGCCAGCCAAAGTGTCTACTATAAAGCGAAGTATCTCGTGGAGGGAGACAGACACCGAGCTCAGCAGAACTGGGCCACTTAGGACAGAGTTTGCTTCGTGAGTCAACAAGTGCTTCCTTCCCAGGGACAAGGAGCCACAGTGGAGCATCACGCCAAGGGCGCTCAAGGCGGTGGGACCTCCGTCCGGGTGATCGTTGGCTCCAGAGAAACTTCCACCATTACCTCCAAAAGCGAAGACGATTTCTTAACCCTGGCCGCCTCCAGGCTGAGCCGGAAAAAAAGAGTCATTGGGGCTGCCATTGGGGTGGCCATGGTGCTGGTTCTCCTGGTGGCCATCCCGTTGCTGGTGCACAGCTCCAAAACCACCTCTCACTATGAGATGTTGGGAAGCTGCCGTATGGTTTGTGATCCCTATACGCCACAAACCCATGGGGCAGCTTCGGCAGAGTCCAGCCAGGAGTTGGCCGTCATCTCCCCACCTCCTTATGTGTCTGGAGGGAGGGGAGACCCAGGGAGGAAGGGCAAGTCTGGAATCCGTGGTCCACCTGGCCCTCCAGGGCCACCTGGGCCCAAAGGGCCAGCTGGAGAGCCAGGGAGGCCAGGTCCTCCAGGCCCACCTGGTCCAGGGCCTGGGGGTTACATTCCAACCTTCTATAGCCCTAAGATCGCTTTCTACGCGGGACTCCGGAAACCACATGAAGGCTATGAGATCCTCCGCTTCGACGACGTGGTGACCAATGTGGGGAACTACTACGAACCCTCCAGTGGCAAGTTCACCTGCCCTCTACCTGGCATCTACTTCTTCACCTACCATGTGCTCATGCGTGGGGGTGATGGCACCAGCATGTGGGCAGACCTGATGAAGAATGGGCAGGTAAGCTGATGTCCCCTCCTACCCTGTGATGTTCCTTTCTACCTAAGGCCATCCTCTGCTCCTCCCCTTCCCTTTCTGAAAACACATCCAAGTTCACCTTTAATTTGTGCCCTCTGACTCTTCCTGTCAACCAACCTAGAGACCTAAATCCAAGTCCATGTTATTGTCCTAATTTTACCTTCTGCACCAATTTTGGTGACACTCCAATCATACTTTCCCTATAGCCTTTGAGTGCACCCTACTTCCCCTACCTGTTCAAACATCTGACCTCTTCCATTTTCAAGTAGCCACACCCACCCTCATTAACCCCTCACCATTAATACATTGACTCCTCCCAACTCCCACATTGGCTCCGCCCATTCACCTTCGAGAACTTTCACCTTGTATTTCCCAGCACTTGGACACAAATATACAGCATCAGTTTCCAAAACTTTGCTTAAATGTACTTTTTGTACAAAGAAATTAAATATTTGAGATATAAGCCATCTCAGGTCTGGGGACACTGGAAACCTACACACGTCTACTTAGAAACAAGCCTCATTGTGGACATTGGGATTTACTCTCATATAAGTGTATATAGGCAGTTTTTCAGGAAAAACAAAACAAAACCAAAGGTCACTCCCACCTCCCACTTGACCTAAAGACAGAAGGCAATGACATTTATTCTAACTCCAGGGTCCTTCTTAGTTAGAATTCTATTCCTGTGAGTAATGTACACTTATTAATTCCTTGGCATATTTCCTATTAAGTAATCTGAAAGAATGCAAGTGTATTGGTATTCTAAAAAGCTACATGATTTACTCATCAAAAGCTCTAAAGAGTATTTAAAATATAAACAGTCACTGATTCTAATATGAATACACGGGTGGGGGAGAAAAGGCTTAACAAATGAAAAATGCATATGAGGCATCATTTCCCACTGAGATTCATTTAACATCTATTCTCCCATTTAAAAAATCCCTTTGGACTTGCAGCCCAGCCTTGCTGTCAGTCAAGTTTTAAAACGGTCTTAAATCAGATTCTATCCTGGGATACAACCTGCCTGTTCCTTTCCATGCATAGTGACAACAGGGTTTGTTTTGCTTTTTATTTATAGGATATATATAGAAGGAGAGGGGGAGGGGAAGAGAAATATATAAATGAAGAGGCTGTATGAAGAATTCTTTCATTCATAATTTCAAGATAGATGAAGATTCCCAGTTCTCAATAGATGGAAGCTAACTCAAAGGAAAAAATATATTGATCTAGAGATCTTCAAAATAGAAAAATATTTAATTTAGCATGCCACAGGGTTTATATTCTTTTAAAATACTCGCTATATGAAACCAGAATGAAACTTGATTTCAAAATGGTACAATAAAATAGAGTGCCACAAAATCGAACTTTGCACAATGTCACACCCAGCAACTAGAACATGACACAAACAATCGTTTGAAATATATTTTCTTTCATTGGTAAAGTTGAATAGGATTTGTACTGAGGAAAGAAGCATCAGAACCTGATTCTTGGAAATTTTGTGAATTATGTTTATAAAACTATATGTAAAATAGTCAGAGATGCAGATTATTATTATTTCAAATTATGACACATATGGGAATTTGTAATTTTATTGTTTGATAAGATTGCACAGAATAGTGCATTTGCTGTTACTAAAGTTTTGTGTGGCTACATCTATGAACTGTATGCTAAATAACATAAATTTCAGGAGTATTTTGCAGGATTCATGTGTGTTCAACATCTTATGCAAACTGTCACTGACATTGTAAAAATATGAAGGATTGATGTATTCATTTGACACTTATGGCCTACATATATGGCTATGATATAATGGATGCCTAATATGTATTCCTGAACATAAAGTGTTATTACTTAAAATATATCATCAGTATTATAGTAAATACCTAAGTACATATAGTACTGCCAAATTTTATTTATATATTTATTTATATATATATAGAGAGAGAGAGAGAGCTACCATATATTTAGTTACTTGAAAATGTTGCAGGAAGGAAATATTATATTTCCTCCTACAAATACAGAATTATATCTCAAAATCTACCATCAATTTGAAAGTGAACATATATTCAAATAAATGTCTTAAAATAACCATATCTACATATATACAAAGAATATTTTAATACATAATTCAATATATGTATACACATTTATACGAACATACATGTTACACAAACTTGGTAATAGTTTTATTCCACTCACATGACCATAGAAATATAGTGGAATTGTTATAGAAACATGGTTTGAGTGTTCAAATAAAGAGATTGCATCTAAAATCTTAAGACATTGGAGGTTTTTGAATCTAAAAAGAGCAAGAGTGATGTGTAAAAATCCTGACTGAATACCATATGCACTCTAATAATGCTTCAACACCTTTTTGCATGTTGTGATTTCATTTCTCTCCACCCAAGCATTTTTCTGTCCATCAAGAACAAGTTCTTTTTCATTTTTCATTAGCTTTTAATAAACTAAGTTATATGTCTCCTACCTCATCTTTATCAACAACCACTCCCAAACTGCATGTGGGTGGAAAGTTTTCAGATACCTCCCTTGTTTTAAAATTCATCTTTAATTGTTGCTTATTTCGTATTTAACTGAAAGGGGTGTCATTAATCCCAAACGTGGTGTGATAAGCTATTCATCAGGATATCATTTCCAAATGACATGCTAATGTTCTTAAATGTAAAATACCACATTATTAACTAGGTGAGCTTAAAATTAGGCATTCTCACCTTCAATGTTTTCTGTTAATTTCATTTATGTGTTTATGACAGACAATTTCATTCCTCTGGATCTGAAAAATGTATCTCTATTTTTCAAAAAAGACACCCAAAGTAACGAAAGCAACATCTGTCACTTCTCTTTGCTGAATCAATATACAGGTGCTATGTGTTTACAAGTGTTTACAAGGCTGAGAGTTGTATCAGGAAGCTTTGAGAGATTATAATTAAAACTCTAGATTCTCTCTCTCTCACACACACACACACAATTTTATTTGAGCAAAAATCTTTCAAGAGCCAAATATAATCCTTTCCTTGAAATTTCACAGCAACTACACTCAAGTCTCCATTTCGATTGCCCTGTGCCTCATGTTGTATTTTAGCAAACACACAAGTAGATTAAAAATGGGATTAATGACATATGAAAATGGGAACTACTTTGGAGTATTTATCAAGGACGTGCGAAACATCAGGACTACTCAGGTGATGATATAGGTGTATTCAAACCCAAGAGTGGACATGCAGGGCAGTCTCCAAACAATGTGAGAAATAACAAATTTATTTTAATGATTTTAATGTTTATGTATGTGTATAGTCTATTTATGTTCTGGCATTGAATGTTTGCTATTTATATGTTGTGCTCCGCCCTGAGTCCCCTTCGGGGTGAGAAGGGCGGAATATAAATGCTTTAAATAAATAAGTAACCCTAATGACATCTCAGGCTGGTTTTACGCCGCCCTAAGATGCAGTTTGAACTGCATTATATGGTCAGTGTAGAACCATATAATGTATCACAATGGCAGTGCAGAACCACTGGCCGCATTGAGACAAATGGAGATAAGCTGTTCCAAGTCCAATTTTGCCCAAAGGAGAGAACTGATATTTTTTTCCATGTCAGGAGTGACTTGTCACTTCCAGTGTGAGAGAATTGGCCGTCTGCAAGAACATTGCCCAGGGGATACGCAGATTGTTTTTACCATCCTGTGGGAGGCTTCTCTCATGTCCCTGGATGAGAAGCTGGAGCTGACAGATGGGAGCTCACCATGCTCCCCAGATTTGAACCGCCGACCTTATGGTCTGCAGTCCTGCCAGCACAAGGGTTTAACCCATTGCTCCACCGGGGGGCTCAAAAAAACCCCCTTCAAATTTGCTCCACCAAGCCTAATTTGGGTCTCTCTTTCCGAACCGATCTGAAAAAGGCAATGACATTCCATAGTTCTAATTAAATCACCCTTCCTTTAACTCAAATAGATTATTACTGAAAGTTTCCCTGATGAAACTGGCCCACATAATGTATTTTCAGCCAAGGTGGTCTATGCTGTCTTATCTTTCAGGGAGGTGAATCTCATCCCACCTTCCTGCCTGCAAAACAGAGGAGGGAAAAGGATGCAAAGAGTTCCGATTGCCCTTCATTGTGTTCATCGATTCCAGTCAGTTCTTTTTTTTTAACACTATAAAACATGGTCAATTTCACACAGGCCTTCAATACCAATTTCAACACCAGTGTCACAATTGCATCCTAATTCTCCCCACCCCCAACAAACACAAAATCAATGAATTTCTTGCAATATTCGGATACTAATTACTTGTGCAATATATTTGGAGACAGCAGATAAGTTCTATATTTTTTCTTCTCTCTGATGCAGAATTGGAAGGTATACGTCAATCAAGCAGCTTCCCTCCCCCATAAAAAAGTGATATAGCTAAGCACCCAAGGACCGAAGCATGATTTATGCTTCCTAAGGGTCTCCCCACCACCACACGCCACTCCTCTTCTATTAGCTAAGAATAAAGATTTTTCCTTTGCCTTAAATGGCGGTATAGATCGTAATGAGAAAAGAAACATTGGAACGGAAGGGTTAATTTTTTTTTCCTGGAGAGATTTTAAAATAGATTTTGACACCGTCACAATTTGTGCTTGGTGAACAGGAACAATTGCCTGTTTATTAAATAATAAATAGCAAGAAGGATAGAAACTGACACGGCACCTGGTAATATTGGTTCAGTCAATTCATCCCCTGAGACCTGTTTGCAGTCAATTTGTCAGCAGAGGCCTTGGTGGTTTGTTTGGGTTTTCTTTCTTTCTTTCCTCCCCCTGTTTTAATACCAAAATGCTTCCTGTCAATTGAGATCAGGGACGAACGAATAGCCCCGTTTCCCCCTTTACTCCCTGCCCAATAAAGCGGACTCTTCTCCGCCTCGCTCTTCTTCTTACCCTTTCCCTAAATTTATGTAGCTTATTTTACCAGGGAATTAAAACAGAAA